GGTATTAAACAGTAATTAATAAGATTCCCTCCCCACCCCACCCCACCCCACCCCACCCAAAAATAAGCCCAAATTGAGGAAATTGAAAATTCATTCTCATTTTTATTTTCAACCTGAACCAAACAACCTCTAAAAATTGGTAACCCTTGAGGGTTTGTTTGGTATTCAGATAGAATAGAACAGAACAGTTGTTCGTTCAACATTTGGTAAGACAAAACTGGACGTGACAAAAGAGTTAAAATGACCAATTTATTCCTCTGAGTTGTTTATATCTTGTATATATTTTAATTACTTATGTAATTTATTAAATCATAATAAATAAAATATTTTTATAATAAATAGATTATCAGAAAGTTTTCGTCAAGACGGTTAAAATAATACCAAAATAAGATGTTACGTAATTTCCATTTTTTATTTTTTATCATTTATATGTTATTATTTTTATTATTATAATATGTTACAAATTAACTAAAATATAGAAACTGTATAAAAATAATATTTTGAGAATATATTGGCATAATATATGTCTGTTTCAACCTTGTTCTACATTCTAAGGATTGGGGGTGGTACACGCCTGTTTCACTTTGTTCTACAATTTTTCCACATAAAAGTCCTACCAACATAAAACAGTAATCCATGTTTTAGTTTATTCAATCCTGTATAGTGTACCAAACACACCCTGACTCATTGCCCGAGGTGGACATGAAAGACCTAGGACCGGTTAACACCTAGACCTAGACCAGGCTCGGGTATACTTAGACGGGTTAAAAACAAATAGATAAAGAACCAACTATAACCGTTCAGTCCCTATCAGTCATAATTTTTTTAAGGAAAATTGACTCAAATGACCATTTCTTACACCCAGATTGGTCTCCTAACCATTTCTCTTCCGGGTTTACTCAAATGACACTACTTTCACAATATTCAGGTCCGTAATATCAGCTAAAAGGCAAAAAAAAATCAAATTCATTACAAATCTGCAATTGTCACGACAAATTGGTTGAATTTGATTTTCTTTTTTGTCTTTTACCTGATATTGCCGACCTGAATATTGTGAAAGTAGTGACATTTGAGTAAACCCTGAAGATAAATGGTTAGGAGACCAATTTGGATGTAGGAAATGGTTAGGAGATCAATCTGGGTGTAGTGACATTCAGGTAAACTCGAGAAAGAAATGGTTAAGAGACCGATTCGAGTGTGGAAAATGTTCATTTAAGTCGATTACCTTTTCTTAAAGATTAAAGGCTCGGTTGAGACCTATTTTCTTGAGGGAAAAAACGAACAGGTCAACAGTATTAAAATATAAAAAAAACACCGGGGTCTTTACCATTAAGACACTTCGACCAGGACTGGTTATAACCGGTTAAGAACACAATTATAACCATTTAAGCATCAATAAAATCACAAAGTACACAACCCAACCATCATGAAAAAATAATCCAAATCTAAGTAAGTATCAAAAACAAGAAACACAAATTTATGTCAAAAACCATCTGCTAGAAAACAATGTCTTACCAAAGGGTCAATATGTTTGCAACTAAATAGATGTATCATAAATGTGTAACCAAAGGGTCCTTTTTCTTGGCTTAATGTGATGAAAACTAATAGAAGCAAAAGGAGGATTAAAATTAATACTGTCCCGATTAATCCGTGCACTTTTTCGGCTGCAAAGCTCTCTAAAAAAACCCGCATCAGATGATAATCCAGCCAAGATCGATCACCATAGAAAACCAGCTACCCGCTATACGACCACCAGCATACATACATCATCTATACATGCTTCATAGCTCATTAAGGCACCGATAGCTTATTTACTGGAAACCGCAAAATGTGGGCTTAGTAATGCTAACAACTATTTCGGCATAAGGAACTTGATCAAATAGGAGATGAATAGGCTTCTATAAGGCTAACCTCCCCATTGGCTAGCTTTGAAGAATCGGTCGATTGGGGGGCTTCTTTGTGGTCATCGTCTTCTATTGGGTCTGAAATGGCATCTTCTGTTGCAAATTCTTCCAGTTTGAGTTTCTGTATGGAGATTTCTTCCACTGAAATGTTGGTTGTTTCACGTGGAGACTGAGAGGTGGAGTCTGCTGAAAAATCGGCTGATTGAACCCATTTTCTCCACTCAGTACGTCTCCTTACTTTGTCACCCTGAAACAATAAGCGTTGTTGTGTAATTACTGAGATGAGGGACATTTATATCTCAAATGACGGCAGCTAAGAAACTGCAAGTTCCAGTTTCCGTGGTTCTGCCACGGTTTAGTATAATTCTGAAACGTTTTACATAACTAATTATAAATGCAGAACAGATAACTGTATATAATCTGCTGAATATTCCAGGTCTCATACAGCCAGAAACCGACCGTCAAGCAAGAGATGGGAAATACCCTTTTACAGCATACGAGATATGCATTATCAAGATCAATGGCATATGATTCAAACCGGTAACGAAAGGTACCTGAATTTCAACGGAATTTGAATCTCTCAAAGAATTCAAAATGATTTGGACATCAGTTGTCAAGTTCTGAACCTGAAAAATCATGCCATAAAGCAAAATTAGCTTTTGCATCGACACCAGTAATACAATAAAGAGAGCTGATCCATAAATTGACACTCAAGTGAACTCTAGAAAAACTAAAAAATTGTACAGAAATGCCACTAAACTACAAAATGATGCCCAAAAAAACTGGAAAAAAGCTGCTAACAGTTGTTAACTATTTGAGGAGAGAACAGTAACTGAAGCACATAGAATTGACTACAGTTATCTGAGCAAGAACTACTTTATAATGCCTAATGCTGTCCAATAGTGTTCCGTTAGATAGGAACAGATTTGATAAATACTGATAACTCTCGGATAGAGTATTAGAACGGGAAGATCCGTTAGATAATGAACTAGTAGAAGATATTATTTCTTGAAACTGCGAGAGCATCTCCAATGGAGGCTTTTATAAGAACCCACTTTTTGTACTCTTGCATGCCACGTCATTTCCACCTCACCAAATTAAGAACCTGCATAAAACTTCACAATGGTAGTTCTTATAAGAACCCATTTTGTGGGTTCCATGTAGTTTTTCAACATCAATAATAATTATGAAGTCAATAAAATATATAAAAAAATAACAAAGATGCCACTTCACACCAATTTCAAGGTAAGAACCATGGTTCTTGTACAAGAACTCGAAGAATATGAGGTTTTTAAAAGAACTCTCTCCAATGGTGGTTCTTCTAAGAACCCACACTTTTTGCTTATAAGAACCTTGCATTGGAGATGCTCTTAGTAAGTATCGTCCTATTCTAAAGGAAAAGGATAGCTATTGAATCCCATAACATGCCTCACTGAAAATTCAAATGCCTATGTTTCACTCGACCGCTATTTAGCACAGGTGGACCGTGCAAATGGTTCACATGGCAACTTGCAGCAGTAATGCTCTTTTCATACCTGACAGGCTGACGCTACAACATATTAATATGTGCTTTTCCAAAGCTCTAGATGGCATAAGGCCTACCATACTACAACTTACAAACCACTTACCACTGTTCACGCCTACTCACTTCTTTATGTGTATCTATTATATGTACGTGTACGGGAACATAATATTTGTAAAATCCAACACAACAGTGCCTACAGAAGTTGCCCCACAAGCAGGCCTCCTTGATACACAGTACCCCCTACATATTTTCATATGGTAGCATAATGAAATAACATAGAGGTTATATAATTACAGTTCTACAAATGTCACTAAGCAACCTTACATGTCAAGCAACAATACTGCACCGATACCCCATTGCAAAAACATTTTGCCAAATACGAATTCATTTATTTATGAATCCAAGGAGTCATAAATATTAGAAAAACATAAAAAACACTTCCGGTAAGCAAGCAGAAAGAACTAGAATAGATAAGCAAACAAAACTTGAGAAAGCATTGTGGCAATATGATGGGTATTGATTTATATTTAAATACTGCAAGAGAAAAGAGAGCTGGGATAGATATAACATTGTTGGTTGCATTCATATTTGACTTGAGAAAACAACCATTGCAGATGATACATACTAATGGGATGACAATATCCTAACACTCACCATTTGTTCTTCTAATAAAGAAGACATAACACAGCTTTACAGACCATGGATAGAAGAAAGAGATATTAATAACCATATCCAAGATTACTAGCAAAAGGCAACCATTCCCCTAGTCCTAGTTCTGCAAGGGAAACTTAGTATGTCAATGATAAATCAACAGCCATGTATTGTTGTAACACAATATCCCCCAAAGTAATGTGTTGGGGTCGTTCGACATGTTAAATAGCAATGGAAGCTAAAGTGAACATCAAGATAAAAATGCGGATAAGGAACAAATATGGAGTTGAAAAGCTAATTGAATTTTTAACTGCAAGTGGAGACCAGAATTTTGAGATCTGTGATCCTTAACTCTTCAGTCTTAGATGAAAATACCCAAAAAAGAAAGCAAACCTAAAATACTTCAGTAGACAAAATGAAAGACACTAGATAAGTGACAAACTTCCCCAACATGTGAGTGTCTTACCAACATCTTATATGTTTCACCATGATGACTCGGGTTTGTGTTACCTTTCTTAAAAATTCATTTGTAAGTACTTTGCCGGAATGTTCTATTACTAAATACTTTGTGGCGGATTTAAAGTGATGTATAACTGGTATTGTTTCATTAGAAGATGACAATGCAATGTAGAGATTCAATTACTTCATTGTATCAATACTAATTAGAGATGATCTCAAATCTCAATTCCCCCCTTTCTGGTGGGAGGGAAGACCACTCACTAGCCTCCGGATTTGTGGTGACTTAGATGACATTGCAATGTAGCTTTTGAACATTGAACAACTTGCAGAGTCTCTCCACAACAGTTAGCAGAGAATAATTAACAGTTAGATGGAGCATACAATACATAGAAACATACCAGGCAACTAATAAGATCTGAGTACAACATATATGAAACATATCAGGAAACTCATAAGACCTGAGTACATCAACAGCGAAAGTCACCAAAATAAGAGCTCAAGTGCATGAAAAAAAAAAGATATACACGGGTACAATATAAAAAGATGGGGATTGGGAAACAGGGATCAATACTTTTTAAGTGTGATATGACAGCATAAGACCGAAATTTCAAAATATCATATAGGAAGTTAATATAAGAACCTATGAGTTAACTGAATGAATGCTCAAACATAGCATAAGGACAAAGGAAGCAAGCATGCCTGAATAACTTCTATGACAAATGTTGATGTCAATTAGGATTTTTCTTTTAAAATCATACATTTTCAAGGAACAGAAAAAACTACACAGATTAAGAAAAGGATTGTCATCATGAGCATGTGGTAGTTTTCAGCTCTTACAATCATGGGCTGTGCTATCTGTCTTCCTCTAGAATCTATGGATCTTAAGTTAACAAAGGTGCAAAATGCAAATCCGTATAAAATAAAAACAGGACAAAGAACCAAGATTAGGTTTAGGAGGTAAACTTGCAAGAAAAAATAATTCTGAGATGAACAGTTCCTATGATTAATCCACAGATGAAGAATGGTATATAAACTAAATAAAACATTACAGAAACTAAGAGATGATTAATCCACAGATGAAAAATGGTATAAGCAAACCCTTCCTGAAGCAGAAAAATAAAAGTAAATAACATGCAAAAACATTGTCACTAGGATCCTTCACATAGCACTATAGCAGCATCCAAGAATATTGAAATTTGCTCATTGATCATAAATCTCACGGACCTTTGTTCAACCTATCTTTCCTCTCATATTCTATGGGATTCTTGATTTCTCATCACAACATTATGCTGAGTTTTAAGTTCAAGAAAGAAAAATAATCACAGAGAACGGTTCATTTTGAAAAAGCATCTTCGCATGTATTGGTCATAGTAGGATATGATGAAACCAGTATGATCATCTCCATTGATCTTTCCCGTATTTGAATATTCTTCAAAATTTCAATAACTCAAAATATAATTTTTAACCTCAAAGGTCCAAGAACTTCTTCAGTTCCCTGTTTCCTCCGTGCAAAAATCAGCTATTGGGATGGGATCACCATGCATTTGGAAAGTGAAACACCTCAAATTCAATAAACAGTACCCTGTACCTTATCTCAAATAATGAATGCAAAGCATGCACAATAGTCTTCCAGAAACTCCTCACAGAGCATAAATGGTGCATTATTAATGAGCTGCATACAAGATGGAAACAAGAAATGGAAAAGACTAAGTTCCAACTTAATCGAAGATCAAGAAACCGTCACTTACTCGTCTAAATCCAGCTATTAAAGCTATAGGTACCCAACCCTCCTCATCCATGTTTGACCTCAAAAAGTTGTCTTTAACCAAATTAGCATCACTGTGGTAAACAAAAAAATTTGCACAGCATCCAAGTTTGCACAAGAAACAATGAAAAGGTCAAAAACATAAAGTAAGAACAATTAAAGGGCAAAAATAAATTAACCAGGTTGTAGTACCTGAAATAATATTCTATCTGATTAAGTATGAAGTCGTGCAAAGGAGGATCCATAACCGGGATAAACATAGGGGGTGGAGCTGCTTGAGGGAGAAGAGGTGTGCTTCTGTATGGCTCTGGAGGTAGAGTAGGAACATATAGAAAAGGTGCAGCCATCTCTGCAGAAGTTGAAGGAGATTGAGTTCCAACATTTTTCCAACCAACATAGAGGAGAAGATCGCTTACATAGGAACTTACCATAACCCATAGGCGTTCCATAAGGTCTTATGGGCTGTGCCGGAATATAAGGAGGACCTGGGTGAGGTTGACGAAAGTAACCCCTGGGAGGTGGAGGACCTATTTGCTGTGGTACATGAACATCTCTACCAGCGGGACTTCGAGTTCCATGCCAATCACGATCATGATGCTCATTCCTGCCTCCATATCCATTATTATGGACTCCCCCGTCTCTACGGGGGCGGGGACCAAAGTTATTCCTTCGGGATGGAGTTCGGTTGGAAGAGTGATCATGCACAACACCCATTGGTCTAGGGTTCCAGCTATTGCCCTTAAGTGGAGGTTGATCTCTTATGGGGGAGTCCAACACAGCTGGTACATAATTACAATATGTCATGTCGAAAAGTGGAAATGGCGGAGGTAGTGGCGGTGGAGGAGGAGGTGGAGGCCGATTGTAGCCTGCAGATGCACCCCCAGCACTTCCACCTCGTTTCATTGATCGTTGTCGGAAAGGGTGGTTGTTGGTTGTATTAGAATGATTGTTTGCATTACTTTTGGCTGGTTTTTGTTGTGTTTGTGAAATTACAGGTGCCTGTTAAGAACAGTAAACATGTAAGATTATGAGATATATATATATATACACACACACACAACAGCAACAACAGTGCATATAAATTTTCGGTTCTTGTACTGAATTTCAAACGATGGATATAAAACTGCAAAATCCTAAATATAATTGTCAAGATATATGGCTGAATATCTTTAATGGATAAGAAAGAGAAAATCTGCTACAAAAATCAATTATCATTATACATAAAACAAAGTGTAAGAGTGAACCTCGAAAACAGTAACCAATCCATCAGAGGTGGGTTTAGATGATGATTCTGACGACAATGATTTCAGAACAGGACGAGTCGACTCAGATAGAGCAGGCCAAGAAGCAGCACCCATCACAGGAGTAGTAGTACCTTCCACAACACCATTTGCCGAGGGTTTGTTCCAAGCTGACTTCTTTTCACCACCGCCATTACCACAATGACTACCCTCAGAGCCATCCGGTTGCGCAGCCGCCGCCACTACCACCGACGCCGGCTCAAATACCATCAACTGATCAGAAAACACAGAATGTTGCTCGGAAGCCCGCGGCGATCGTGGAATAACTGATTCCGACTCACCACCACCGCGAACCACTTGAGCCCACGCAGACGGTAAATTTCTCCGTCGGGAAGGACTGTTAATACCACCTTCGCCGGAGTGGGTAACCATGGTAGTAGATGAATCCGCCGTCATAGATTTCTATGTTAGGGCAAACAAAATTAATCTCCCAAGCAATGTCGTACAGTTTGATCCAGTATTTAGACGATAAACATCATCAATTGTATAAATTTGAACACAATAAAACCTAAAATTGTAATGGATGAATGCAGAATCGACGGTAGATCATTTAGGGTTTGTGATGGTGAGTGATCGGGCCGTCGTCGACGACAACGGGTGCCAAATGGTCACTGTATACGTGAAGGCAAATGAACCGGAAGCGCGAAGAGAAGGGTTTCTCGCGTCACTTGCTGTTTATACCCGGCCCAATTATGTCCTTAATTTGGGCCTACTATTTTTTCATTATTATTAAATTTATCGTATTTCTTAAAATTATTTTTTTAAAGGGTGTCACAGCTATGTTTAGGGGCTGTTTGGCAATTGCTGAATGGTTTGTTGCAGAATGATTAAGTGGTCAGAATGATTAAGAGGCTCTCATAATATAGTGCAAAATGAAATATAATTGTTTGGTAATTGTCTACAATGAAATTAAGGCTTTTAATGGTTAAGGGAGTTCCAGGATACAAAACCATTCAGATGATTTTAGAATCATTAAGAGACAGACTTTTTTTTGTCAAACAAGATTCATCTCTTAACGGTTCATAGGTTGCTTCTTAATGAAACTATTAAGAGGTAAACAAACAACCTCTTAGCCTAATCCTAAAGCGCTAGCGCACCCCTCTCTCTAAAGGGGCGTAAGCACTTTACTCGCTAAGGGGATGGGATTTATTCACTTGCATTCCTGCCAACACTACAAAAAACTCTGGTCTTAACTCCCCTATTACTGTTGTGCAGCCTTTCCTTAGGTTCATAGAGTCGGATTTCCCGTTTACCCACAACTGGGGATCCGCCCCCACTAGGCAGGCGGATAAACTCAGTAACTACAATGTTATGTATGTCAAAAATTGAAATTTTACTGTAACTATTTTCCAAATGTATTGCTGATTTTGTAACAGTTTCCAGATTTTTTTACTGGGTTTTAATAATGATTTTTGAAGTTAAATAAATATAAAGAAATTGAAAAATAAGTAAGAAGTCGATTACTATTATATGTACATGACACTTGAGATAATTAATGTTGTGGGAGAATAATCGTGTGAGAATGAAAATTAAAGTGAGAAGCGTAAGAAAATATATGAATTATGGATCATCTTTAATCTCAAATACACTTTTTAGTTCATCAAAACAACATCGTATACAGTCATCTACCCGGTAACTGTTAACCGGGTAAGAGTCGTTATCTTCACTTATTATATAAGACTCTCGGTCTTTGACATCACTCGTATCAGATAAGATTCAAAAACTTTTTTATGTTCTCCAGTAGAATAACGTGACTTGACAAATGCTTAACAGGTAACTGTCAGGGGTTGTTTGTTCATCTCTTAGTAGTTCAATCAAGAGACAACCTCTGAATCGTTGATAGATTAATCTTGTTTGCCAAAAAAAAAAATTGTCTCTTAATATTTCTAAAACCCTCTGAATAATTTTGTATCTTGAGTTTCTTTAACCATTCAACGTCCTAATTTCATGGTAAACAATTACCTAACAATTATATTTCATTTTGCACTATATCATAAGAATCTCTTTAATCATTCTAACCACTTAACCATTTAGCATCAAACCATTCAGCAACTGTCAAACAGTCCCTTAGTAAATTACCCATTTCATGTTGTAATTTATTTGATTTATATAATGACTAGTTAAATATTTATTATTATTTCTTTCTTGGCGTGATAGTAGTTATTAGTTTTAAACCATAAGGATGGTGTCTGATTGGTTTGAGCTTGGGTTCTAAAGATTAAAAGTGCCTGAAAATCTCAGGTTCAAATCCAATGAGGAATAAAAATCCCTTTGTGGCCATAGCAGTTCAAGTGCGGTGACTTCAGACTACCCACAAAACAAGTGGTCGTCCTAAAATTAATCGGCTCACATAACGGATTAAATATTCAGGTTAATAATACTGTCCAATCCTATCTCTTATCATAAATAGGTCTAATTAATTAGTTGTTGTTTTGGAGTCTAATTTGACTTTTTGTTTGGATAATGTTTGTTATGGTTAAGGTTTTGATATATTAATCAATGAATTTTATAATAAATATTCAGTTTTAATCAGTCAATCTTTTCATTTAAAAAGAGATAGTGTTCGGTCAATTGGTTTTGTCAAACGTCAGATTGATTTGATCAGTTATAATTTAACAGAAGTTTGACATCGAGCTTAAAATTAAACTGGTTAAGTGTTACAGTCATAACATGAAAATAGCTGGAGACGTAGGTTGCGAAAAACATTTACTCTTAATACCTTAATAGGCGTATCTGTGAAAAGTTTTTGTAGGGTTTCATAATAAATCAGTAACCTTTGATAAACGCATTTGGTTTTGTCAAACGTTAAATTGATTTGATTAGTTATAACCAGAAGGGTATTTGCACAATGCAGCGAGATATATTTCAATTTTAATGTTTCGTTTTACTTTGTCTCTGTAAATGTTATAATATAGTTTATGTGGTTTTGAGAAAGAGATAATGTTTTTATTTTCGAATAAAATATAAATTTGAAAATATCATAAATTTCAAAAATAAATATATCGATACTAGTATCAAATTAATTATTTAAAGGTTTTTATTTTTTTACGTAATTTTTTTAATTTAATTTTTTTATTATAATTTAATTTAAATTTAATAACAAAGTAATTTATTTTTGATTTGATAATATATTTTTTATAAAGATAATAATTAAGTATTATGTTAGAACTCAATTATTATTCTAATTATATTTTAGATTTTTTATATTTAAAATAAAAATTTTATCTTGTATTTGATTATATCTATCTGCATTTAGTTACACGAATCCAAAATGGAGCTTTAATAAGTTGTGCTTACGCACACTTTATTTGTAGTATTGAATTTTAAGTAATATGCATCAATAAATAATATTTAATGCATAATCTTAAATCTAAATGATTGACTGGTCTTTTAGGGTAAAGCCTATCAGTTTATTTATAATCAGCTTATTTGAATTATAGACAAAACCGCAGTACCAAAACATGGGTCGGGCTTATGATTATCCTTAAGAACATTTATTTATAAGCCTAAATAAGGTTTTATTTAATTTTTGTTACTAAACATAAATTAAATTATAATTAAGAAAATTACACCAAAACACAATAAATTTTAAAAAGATTAATTTAATACTGATATCGATATTATTTTTTTAAAATTTTATGATATTTTAAAAATAAAAACGTTATCACTTTCTCAAAACCACATAAAATCAATGTTTACTTAAAACTTAAGATTACAAGTAAATTATGCAAAAGTACAACTTATTAAAGCTCGATGTTTGAATTCGTATAACTAATTGCAGATAAACATAATCAAATAGAGGATAAACATCTTATTTTAAAATATAAAAAATCTAAAATATGATTAAAATAATTATTGATAACTAACAGAATACTTAATTATTATCTTTATAAGAAAATTATATTATTAAATCAAATATAAATTAATTCGTTATTGTACCTAAATTAAATTATAATAGAAAATTGAATTAAAAAATTACATAAAAAATAAGGAATTTTAAATAGTTAATTTGATACTAATATCGATATATTTTTGTCAAAATTTTATGATATCTTCAAATTTATATTTTATTCACAAATAAAAACATCATCACTTTCTCAAAATCACATAAGACCATATTATAACATCAACCAAGATAAAGAATAAAATTAAATATTAAAATCAAGATGTATCTCGCTGCATTGCGTGAACACCCTTCTAGTACTATATTATAAAGCATTTGACAAAAACTCTTAAAAACCACTTTTTATGCATAAAATATTGTTTATGTATGTTACTTAAAACTCAAAATTATAAGTAGATTGTACGTAAATATAACTTATTAAAGCTTTATATCTGAATTTATGTAACTAACTGCAGATAAACATAATCAAATACATGATAAACATCTCATTTTAAATATAAAAAATCTAAAATATAATTAGGATAAACATTAAGTTCTAACAAAATACTTAATTATTATCTTTACAACATGTTATATTATTAAACCATAAATTATAATTAAAAAATAAATTAGAGAAATTACATAAAAAAAATGAGAACTTTTAAATAGTTGATTTGATATTAACATTGATATTTTTTTTTTCAAATTTTTATGATATCTTCAAATTTATATTTTATTCAAAAATAAAATCATTATTGCTTTCTTAAAAACACATAAAATCATATTATAACATCGACATAGACAATGAATAAAATAGAACATCAAAATCGAGACATATCTCACTGCATTGTACGAGTACTTTTCTAATAAATATAAAACTCCCTCTTTAAATTTTATATGATATGAAATGTTTTATTAACATGTTTTTTTTTTCTGAAAAAATGAATTTTTTGTGAAAAACAATTTTATTGTGGCAAACAACTTTTCCTTTAGAAGCCCACTAACAAGTGATAAAACGAGTTAACCTAACTTTAATCTTTTTCAAATTGGAACCAAATTTAGCATTAAGATTAATCGGTTACGTAACAGAAACCAAAATGCAAAAAAAAAAAATGATTTGACCGCCTTGACATGACGTGATATTGGCCGGTGCGTGGTGCATAAGGGGACCCTTGACAGCTTGTGATCATTTGTGTTTACACAGTGGGCACAAAACCCACAGTGGGGTAGAAGTGCACGCTGATACTGTGATCGTTTGCAAGTAATAAAGTGGTAAAATACCGAGATCGTTTTCACAGGGATTAAACTACTGAGATTCGGAGATTTTCATGAACTTTTTGAGCGTATTTTGGTTTGTGAATAAATGTTGGATTTTTGTTTATAAAAAGCTTTAAAAGACGAAATTAGCGAAATGAACTTATAGACTAAAGAATGTGCATGGATGTAAGTGTTTCTTAAGATAAAATCAACAATATAATGGTTAGGAACTTATGAGTTGTTTATAAAAATTACAATCTCTCGAAAGTAAAAAATTCATTAATAGTCCCCCACAAAGTTCCCACTCTTACCACTTCGAGATTTGTTGATTTAGCTAAACAGAAGAAGAAATAAAATTCATACTCAAATCTCTTTGTAATATGAATAACCCTCAATCATTAGCTAAATACATACAAAATTTGCATCTCTACTTAATTACCAAAGACTCTATCGAGTTCTTTGTGCATCACTTAAGCCGTATTTCGAATCCGCTCATCTCTAGGTCTAAAATCTAATATTAACACTTCACAGTGATCGACTTATCTGCGTGAGTTTAGGTCACGTTTTAAGTGACCAAGTTTACGAAGTGGTAAATAGTAGAAAACACCCAAAATATTGTATAAAAATTCTAAGTTAAATTCACACCTACACCCATACAAATAAATTAGCTCATAATAGACTGAAATATAACTTTCATTGAAATAAAACTAAACTCTGTTCCCACAATGGTGAGACCGTGGACAACAAGTTACAACTTCAATAAAGTTAAAGTCCTTTGACTCGTGGGCCGGTGCGTAAGGTACAGTCGTTGCGGCAGATGTCACGTCAACGTGGTTAGATCATTATCTTTAAAAATCACATTACCTTATCAGATGAGTATGGAAAAAATCAAGAAATCTCACTTGGTAAGAGCAAATAAACGAGCGAATGTCTTACTCGGTAAGTATTTGATTATGTTTATTACGTATTTGATTATGTGTATCTGCAATTAGTTACACGAATTTAAAAATTGAGTTATAATAAGCTGTATTTACGCAAAATTACTTGTAATCATGAATTTTAAGTAATATGCATCAATAAACAGTACTTCATGCATAAAAAATGGTTTTTAAAAGTTTTTTTTTTCAAATATTTTATAATATAACTACAAAGGTATTCGCGCAATACAACGAAATACATCTCGATTTTAATGTGTCTGTTTTTTTGTCTCAGTCGATGTTATAATATGATTTTATATGGTATTGAAAATATGATAACATTTTTATTCTTTGAATAAAACATAAATTTGAAAAAAAAAATGTATCAATTTTATTATCAAATTAAATATTTGAAAGTTCTTGTTTTTGTGTAATTTCTTTAATTAAAATTTTATTATAATTTAATTTATATATAATAACAAAGCAATTTTTTTTGGTTTAATAATATAATTTTTTATAAAAATAATAATTAAATATTTAGTTAGAACCCAATTATTATCTTAATTATATTTTAGATTTTTTATATTTAAAATAAATATTTATCTTGTATTTGATTATGTTTATCTGCAGTTAATTACACAAATTCAAACATGAAGATTTAATAAGTTGTAATTACGCAAAATTACTTATAATCCTGAATTTTAAATAATATGCATCAATAAACAATATTTTATACATAAAAAATAATTTTTAAAATTTTTTATTAACTTTTTGTTAAAAAATTATTTGAAATGCGATGATAGATATTAGATGACGGGTTTTATTTGGAGACCAATAGACCATCCCCACCGTTAGTCAACTGCGTGTATTCACTTCCAAATGAATCAATGGTATGGATTGCGTGTATTCACTTCCAAATGAATCAATGGTATGGATTATGGGTGCTTAAAAACCCGATCAATCCGATCAACCCAACCCAACCCAACGTAAAATAACTGAACCCGAAGCAATCCAATGTCTAATCAAGTTGTAAAATTATCAAATCATAGGTATTGTGTTGATATTGAGTTACTATTATTTGAACCCAACCCAACCCGATGAACCCGATATCCTTTTATTTCTTGAATTTAATATGATTGTTGAATTTATAATAATATATACATTAGACGATTACACTATCATGTATGCTTTTCATATACACTTATTTTCAATCTATTCATATCTCTATATAACTCATTCAGTAACTGTGAACATATATATGTAAATTGAGAAAATTAACTGAATGTGATATACGTAAGAAATATGAATAAGTTGTATCAAATGGTTGATGATGAAAAAGAAATTATGAGTTGAAAAATAACATATTCAAGGTTAAAAGAATATTTTAATATATCAAAGTATCAACCCGACCAACCCGTACGGGTTGAGTTGGGTTGAGTTAAGATTTTTCCAAACCACAAATATTAGATTGGATTGTTCAAATGTTCTCAACCCGATCAACCCAACTCATCCCATAAGCATCTCTAGTATGGATGATGACGTGTTCCCATTTGGGTTGGTGGGTGTGGGGCCCTCCATTAATTTTAAAGTAGACTTTAATTTTGGTCTCTACTACGTCAATTTCCTTCGAATTTCTTAAGAAATTCTTAGGAATTTTCTAACAAATTTCAATGGTGGTGGTTGTGGCTTGTGATGTGAGTACAAAATATTTTAACTAAAAAATTGATTTTTAATAATTATTAATGTTATATTAGTATTTTTTGTTGACGTAACAGATAAATAATGTAAGAAAAATTGTATGATATAATTTTTTAATAAAAAATTGTTTTATGTTACATCAGATTTTTTTTTATGTTTAATAAAATATATTTATA